ATATATATATATATATAGAATAAAAGGCAAAATACTGAAAAATAACAATGCTGTGTGAAACAATGGCTGGATATTGGTATTGATAGAAATTTGATAAGCAACAGCTAAAACGTAAACGTAAGTAAGAGCCAGAAATAGAACTAGACCTTTCGCACAACACCAGTCCTTCCTCAGCAGCGAGGAGTGAGGGTAAAAAAGAGGTTGGCATAACATCACCATCAAAACTTTAACAGCATCAGAGACAAATGCAATTCACACTTGAAAACAATGGCAGGAACCCATCAAACCATCACGTGCATGAATGAACAAAGTAGATGATCCCATGATGATACTTACTCGAAAGGTATGTCCAACTGTTTGCAGTATTGATCATAGAAACGATCTTCTAATGACAAAGACGCCACAGTGCGCATATTCTCAATCGATTCACTGGCAGTCTAAAAATATAATAAAACAATACAAAATATCGAAAGGAAATGGAAGTCATATTCATAAAACGGTTGAGCATTATTTAAAGAGAACACTCACGATCACCGTTTAAACCATTTGAATATAAACTTCCAAATGGATTATTCGATTTTCGATTGCTAGAACTCAGGGAGGAGAGGGCATAACTCACCAGTGGATATCTCAGTATTAAATATAACCTATTACCAAAATGATACTGATAAAAATGCAATAAAAATGAAAGTAATAAAATTAATAAAAATAATATACATAATAATAACAGACATAATAATATACATCCTACATAATAAATACACAGAGATACAATAATATACACACCTTTCCAGCGTCTTCACGCAATTCGGCATCTGCTTTTTGACTACCAGAAATGGCTTTCATTTGGAAAATCCCTGCTAAAGCTAGGAACGGAAGACAGCCAAACATCACCAAAGCAAGTTTCCAACCGTAGTACAAAGCAATAAACACAGCGGCTAACATAGTAACACACGACTGCAAAACAGCTCCAATCCGAATACCCGTCGCCTAATAGTATAACAGATAAATTGAATTTTTATATAAGTTGTGATTTTTTGGACATGCAGTGTTATTTGATTTGTATTTATTTTATAACTGCATCTTCGCCATTACTGGCACATGATGCCTCGGGACGGAGAGAGAAAAGAATAAATCCCTTCCTACTAATACAGATCTAATGGATGGTCAGACAAAAAAAAACACACTTATTAAGAGACGGAGAAATACTTTTTTGTGTACTGATTGCCAAAATGTCAATTTATATCTTATTTAATAATTTTAGCACGGGCTGATTCCTGAGCAAATGTTCCCTTAATGTCGAGAGCCTACACCCGGCATTGGCAATACACTGTAAGGCCTATGAGTGAAACACCTGATACTATAAGGCCTGTAATTGGAGCCTCACGTACTGTAAGGCATAAGAGTGAAACCGGGTACTAGAACCAAAGGAAAGGGTGGAAAACAACGCGTTGAGTCGGAATTCAACTTTAGTGAAATAATAAAGAAAAAAACTAGCAAGAAATACGCTAGTCGTTGCAGCAACTACCTACCCCTTTAACATTTGAAGCATCAGTGGCAAGCCTTGTAGTCAATGCACCAGTGCTATGATAAGGGTCATCGTACCATGCCATTTCCTTAAAAAAATAATCAAATCAATAAAAAAAATCTAACCAACAGCATGTAGTTAAGCTGCCGCTTGGAGGTTGAAGATACCTGCCTTCCCATCCCAAAGCCTTGTGTTCAAGTCCTGTCAAGTAACAGGGCTACTCAGGCTATTTACTTTGGTTTCTTCATCATATTTGCTCATTGGGATCATCCGGAAAGGTATTGCCGATAACTAAATTTTTCTAACATTAGAATGTTGGTCTCCGGACGTGAACGTGGATATTCCTAATATTGGATAATCCTAAACTATTTTTTATGACTAAAACAGCTCCACTCTCCCTATCTAAGCACCATAATGAAAGTTAGTATACATACGCATCACATGATTGCCATTTGAAAAAGTTTTCCACTATTTGAACAGTTAGAAAGGTCGCCCAAATTACTAAAATTGATAAAATTATACACTCCACGGAACCTGTGTATACTTTACTAACTAGCAAGATATTGATTATTACAGTTAATTATTTAAAGGAAATTATGTTGAATTCCCATTTGTTCATCACTCCCAGTGTTATAACATCGAAATTAAAAAAAAAAACAATTCAATTTTAAAAACAACAGCGCTTTCTAATTTTCATTTTCTATGGTAAATTAGCAATTCTGGGAATTGAGTTTATACTGAATATATTTTTTTTAAAACAACCTACCTGTCTTAACATAGAGGAAAACGCTTTGATTCTGAGACGCATCGTAAGATTCTCTCCCGAGATACTGAACATCCAAGTCTGGAAGAAGTTCCCCAATCCGGTGATAACACCAAGTAGCACGAACATCAACGACCAAAACCTAGCAGCATCTTGCATCTCCTCAAGTGTGTCCTGAGAGAAAACCTACCGAACACACACAATATACGGTACAAACCAACACGATGTAAAGAGCGTGGTGATATTAATAAGCAGAACAAAAACACAAAAAGTAGTTATACTGTTTTGTTAATACTATTTGTAGTTTGTTGATTGTACTTTCTTTAAAAGAATCATCTATTGGACTTTTCGACAAAACAACAGAAATTTGGCCAAAAAATAAAACCTACATTTATTATTTCACCGAAGAAGATGGCGAACAGCGGTAGCAACAGAAGACAGATGCGGCGTAATGTTTCCAAGAGAAAATGAACCAATCATGACGCAAAAAAATACAGTAAGTACTTCACCAGGGTCGATTTTGTCTTCACTCACCATCTTTGGTCCGTACCTTCAGGTATACATAACATTATAATACACATCACCCATCAAGTATTTTGGGAAATAAAGGAGTAGAATAGCACCTGTCTCTTATACACATCTCTCTTACATGTATATCGTAGCCTATATGTTTTTCTTCTTTAGCACGTATATGAGTTAAGCTCTTAATAGATATTATCACCCTTTCCGCTTAAATACATTGATAAAGTTAGGCTTTCAGATAAATCTTACCTCTTTTTCCTCCTCTTCCTTGTTTTCGCTGGTACCACTTGCTGATGATGAAACGCGTGATCTTTGGCGAGACAACTGACGTTTTGTGGATATTTGCCTAGTAATTGAAGATGTTTTTTCCGATTTGTCTATATCGCTTTTCTCTGTAATCAACGAAAACAGGCAAGCAATATAATGATAATAATAACTAATAATAATTATTGGAATATTGACCACCGAAATGGAATGCAAACGATTCGTAATAGAAATACAAAATAGTATAGTTCAGCCAATCAATCAAATCATCTTTTGTGTAGCAAATAACAACATTGCTGAGGACTGACCTGTTACGGACTCTTCGGCTGCGCCTTCGATCATTTGTAGTGTGACCAGCTGTTTGTAAACACCGTTCTTCTCCATAAGCTCGTCGTGTGATCCGTGTTCCACCACTTGTCCATCTCTCAGCGCAAAGATGACGTCAGAATGTTTAATGGTTGACAGACGATGGGCAACTACAAGTACTGTTCGACCTTCTTGCGCCTGAACAATATTTAGAAGTGAATTTGCAGTATGTAGTGACGTCATTACTATACATTATCAAGTGTTTCTTTAACATGATTTAATGACGTCATGATGTTTATTTACTGTAGGCCTACCTTACCAAGTTCTTTATTAGCAACTTTTCTATGATGTCATGATGTTGGTTATTTAACCTAAGTAGTTCTAAGTTTTTAAGACGTTAAGATGGCTATTTACTTACCTTATCAAGTGCTTCTTGGACAAGTTTTTCACTTTCACTGTCTAAAGCTGATGTCGCTTCATCTAAGAGTAGAATCTTTGGATTACGCACTAGAGCACGTGCTATGGCTACGCGTTGTTTCTGGCCACCGGATAGCTGGGCGCCTCGTTCACCGACTAGGGTGTTGTATCCCTGAAAACAATAATTGAAGGCATAAAGTATAAACTTAACAAATACAAACTCACTTAAACTTGTAAACAAATCACTAATATATTTCATACCTTTGGGAGCTTACTGATGAAATCATGTGCATTGGCAGATTTAGCAGCCTGTATTATCTCATTTTGTGTGACACCTTCTCTGCCATAGCGTATATTCTCTTCAATACTGCAACCGAACAGGACTGGTTCTTGACTGACAACGCCGACGTTTTGACGCAGCCACTTGATGTTCAGATCTTTGATCTCCACTCCATCTAAAAAGATCTAAGACAATCCACAAGATATAAAATCTGAAGAAGTTTAACTATTTACGGAAGCCCATTATTGCCAATCAAGTATATATTGTAATCCGCGTACGGATTACTAATTCGTTTGTACCGGACTAGTAATCCGTTTGTACAGATTAGTAATTTGTTTGTATCGGATTACGGATTTGTTTGTACGGATTAATAATTCGTTTGTACAGACTGATTACAATATAGGCCTTATACTTGATTGGCCCTAATAAGCTTTCGTAACTATCTGACGAAAACGGTTACGTTATATACAACAAGGATTCAGTGGCAAGTCAAATTATTTTACCTGTCCACCGCTGATGTCATAAAATCTCTGCAGGAGACCAACAATGGTTGATTTGCCACAACCAGACGAACCAACCAGAGCAACGGTTTGTCCACTGACGATCTCCAACGAGATGTCGTTCAAAACCTGTACGTCAGGCCTAGTAGGGTACGAAAAATTTACATTCTTCACTTGTATATTTCCTTTTAGGGATGCAGGTTTAAGTCCACCATCGGAGCTGCTATCAATCGATGGTACCTTGTCAATGAAATGGTTAGAGTCAGAATCAATTCACACAAAGTATAATATGACAACACTGCAGCATATTAGAAGACGGTGGTACTCATGTGGTCTCGTAAACAATTTAATATCGTTAAGAACAATCTAGTTAAAACCTTTTTACAACCAAGCAATATAATGATGTAACATGTACAAAAGCGAAAGAAAGAACTGTTTTAATGAATGAAGAAACATTATATATACTATATCATAGTATTTTTTATTATCTGATAGTGTCTCCTCGCTTTCAAATATAGTAATACTAATAAATAAATAACTGGAAGGTCTACTGACTAATCTCAAATACGATAGTATAATCAGGGAACAGTGAAATTTCACTGTTCCCTGGTATAATACATACTTCAAGTATCGAAATGCACGCCATGTCGGGATTCAATATTTCGACATTAATTATGTCAAAATGGTTAATCATCATATATTATATATCATCCTTGATGATGACATAATTGATGTCGAAATATACGATGGCATGCATTCGATACTTGGAGTATGTATTGTACCATCTTAGTTATAAATAATATATAAAGAACAAGGAAACATATATCTTTTAATACTATGATCAACTTCTATGTAAGGGACATCTCTAAAGTAGAAACTATTTGGTCCCGAAGGTGTCCCCTTAATATGAGGTCTATTGTAACTGACTGTGCTTGCCTTTAGTAAGAAATAAGATAACTACATGACAGTTACAGGTAAACATGAAGCAAATCTATTCACCAGTCTGAGTAATAATGCTATAAATACGTACATTATCGATTATCTCAAAGAGGGCGTAAGCAGCACCCCTTGCGGTAGCAACAGAAGACAGATGCGGCGTAATGTTTCCAAGAGAAAATGAACCAATCATGACGCAAAAAAATACAGTAAGTACTTCACCAGGGTCGATTTTGTCTTCACTCACCATCTTTGGTCCGTACCTTCAGGTATACATAACATTATAATACACATCACCCATCAAGTATTTTGGGAAATAAAGGAGTAGAATAGCACGTGGGGTAAATATCAAGAGAGATAGATATAACATTCTTGCAGAATGTAGGCCCTACATGGGTACAGATCAATATGTACATGAAGTATTTTATTAACAAATCTATAGTACTATATAATAAAGATTTCAAGAGATAATTTAATATATATGATTTCTATAATGTTCCATAATATTATATATAATTAATTTATAATATGCCATACCCTGCCAAATGTTATTTGTTTGTTTTCTTATAATTTATGTAACTCGCACCTTGTTTTTTTAAATATTGTATATATCTTTAGTTAAGTTTATGCTCTTTTTATGGAACCAATGGAACCCGAGTTTCATGTGAACCGATTTGTGCACAATGACAATAAATCGATGTTGAATACAGAGAAGATATTAAGTTTATTTTATCGTATTTAAAGTTCTTATTAAAGCACCATCATAAAGACGGTATAAATTTTGTCTCACATCCTCCAAAAACTCACAAGAAATCAACAAAATCAGTCACGAGAAGTCTATAGGTACCTCTTCATTGTGCCGTAAATCGCATACTATAATAATTTTAATATTCTTACCAAAACGCTAGTCCATATGAACAGAACAAAATCAGCATAAACAGACCGATACCAAGAGCTGTAGTTAGACCCTTCTTGACTCCGACGTTTTTGGCGGCAACAAGTTCCTTGCTATACCTGATGCAAAGAAGGAAAACAAACAAGCCCATACGTTAATAATAGGCCTACTGATCAGTAATTATGATACAGCATCGGTTGAAATTTAAACATATTGATTGCTGGGCTTCAAACAGGTATCAATATCGCCTACTGACTACTTTTTACATTAAACAACAAAATGCCCATAGTGCTACTGGACCTCCCAGAGTTTAACTGGACCGTCCCAATCACGTTTAACAACTGACCAATCAAAACCATGCCAAAAATGCGTGCTTCCCATAAACACACGTGCTGTCAACGAAATTCCAAAGGCGGCCGGACCGGGCTTAGCAAAACGGCCCATTGTACAATTACCGTATCAGTGGCGGACGAACATTTTAGAAAATAGTAGCTCTTGATGACCGGAAATGAAACTTTTATATAGTAAAATTCATCGTCATCACATCACCATAGAGTCAAAATGATGAAGCGCCAACAAATTTCTCATGATGTTTTACCAGCGATTTTCGGATACTATAGATATCTAATTAATATCTGTGATGTACTAGGCCTATAGAAAAAAAAATATTAAAAACATTGTCTGTGATGTATTTAATTTAGGCCTACCTACTTCAAAGTCATTAGTCCACACCATATTTAAGGACTGAGGTGGGAACATTTGGGGAAAACCTTTAGATTACCGGCAATGACACTCACATAATAACCCCATTGCTACCTAATAATAAAATTCATCATCGATTAAATTAATCGCTGTGATGTTCCATTAAAAATAATACTCAATTGTCATTGATGTATTTTTAATTTACTTTACCATGTGCCGAAAACCAATCTTATTATTATTATTATTATTATTATTATTATTATTATTATTATTATTATTATTATTATTATTATTATTATTATTATTATTATTATTATTTTTATTATTTTTATTATTATTATTATTATTACACGCTTTTTCTCATACTTCTCAAATTATAATAGAGGCACGTGCACTCGAGTCGTGTATTATAAGTAATTCAGATGTTTGTGGGCAGAGATAGAATACCGGTTGTACAGCACACTTTCGTTAAAACCTGGGTCATTTATGCAGTTCATTTCAACAACTTCAGACATTTCTTAACTTATGAAATTATTACATTGCGGACATTGTGATATTTTTTTTGGAATTAGTAGACGGCTAGACGCTCTTGTCATCTGAAAAGAAGTTAAGCTTAAAATAGAAAGTGTATGTTTTACGAGAGTAGCCTGCTACATGTAACATTAATACATGAGAAGCACACACATAAGACGTGTGACCATTTTTTTTTCGAGGTCACCGAAGTGGGGGGGATGGGTGGCTAGCCACCATATTCACTACCCCCCTCCCCCTTGATCCGCCACTAACCGTATTGATTGATGAATTGAAAAATTAATTGAATGATTGCATAGACTTCAGAGGTACTTATTATTATTATTATTCTTTCTTTAGGCACACAACACATGTGCCATGGATTGCCATTAGCGAATATATATCACTGTCCTACATGTAGGTGACAATCCCTTACACAAGACAAACATACACACACGATGCTTTACACAAACTAAATCTCAATATGAGATTTAGGGAGTGGAGTTGTTTATGTCGTGAGAAAAAATCCTGCAACTGGCAGGAATTGAACCCAAGACCCTGGGATTGGAAGGCAAGCATCTTAACCACCAAGCTATTCAACTCCACTTACTGAATCTGAATTATGAAATGACCTACCTCTCGGTTTCTTTTTGCTCACCACCAAACGCAACGACGGTCCGGATACAGGAGAGTACCTCCTCTGCAACGCTTCCTGCTGCCGCGTAAACAGACTGCTCCTTCTTGGCGAATGACGTAATAGTCTAAAAACAGGTACATAAGATAAGATAGGATAAGTTAAGATAGGATAAGATAAGATATGATAATATATAAGATAATATAAAATAACCATCTAATATAAGCAGTAATAGATAAGCCCATAAATATAATTGCAATTTAGACGAGTAAAGCACATAATACGCTGATGCTATTGCAAACAAATAGATTGATGCTAATTGGTCGGTCAAGGGAGCAGTCATGTGTTCGAATCGATGATCCACTGCATTGGGGACAGTGCAGCAGTTGCAGAAAAAAATAATACTACAGTGTAGCGATTTTATTGAAACAACTACGCTTAACTTCAAACAGACACACATTCTCATAAGAAAATAATTCTTTATATTTAACGCATTACTTATTATTTCATTCCATGCAACAGCGAAAGGCTTGGAACTAACAGGATTCAATAAACGTATGTGAAATCTCCTTTTGAAGATTTAGAGTAGCCTAAGATTATTTGTAATGGGACAATACGTACAACAGCCATGAATGCCCCACAGATTGCCAGCAGTGGAGTGAATGACATCATCACCAATGTTAATTCCCAGCTTTTCCAGAACCCTATTGCAAATCCTATTTTAAGTAAACAAAGCAAATAATATTATATTTATTAATACAATTAGATTGATGTTATCTGTACATTCTATACAAGATCCATTCATCATTCATAAAAGTATCCTTAATGAGAAATTTGTTATGCTTGTCCTCTCTTCGCTGCTTCTCTAATCAGTATGAATATAACACAATCCAATTATCTATATTAAAATTAAGCAAAGCCTAAATAAGTACAGTTTTTGGTGTTTGGTACCTGCAACAAGTTGTGAAGTAAACTGCATAACAAAGCTGATCTTATCCCCAGTACCTTCCTTCACTCGTTCCAAATCACTGTGAACATAAAACAATTAACTAACGCTTATTCACTAGATATCTACGCACTTGAAAATCAGAGGCAACACAGTAGTTTTTGCTATTCCAGAATATTTCCGCACAAATACATTTGGGACTAGTTATTTTATTGAACGAATTACAAGCATATGAACTGAAATATTGCATAATCATTAGGGTAGGCCTAAAGTTGAGATTAATTTGAATTCCGGTCAAACTTTTTTTTAAATGGAACAGTCCATCTTCTTTTAACGAATAAAAACATTGCACTAGGTGAAAGTGTACAATACCAAAATGAAGGGAACACAATTGAATAAAAATGGAATTAATACTGTACATGACGCAAAGCACAAAAATGAATACCAAATGTCACATGATATTTAATCACATACGCACCCATCGCACTCACTGTATATGAGCCTTTCTGATAAATATAAATATAAGTACCAATGCTTATTGGTATTACTTATGGATTAAGAAAATACTATACAAATCAGGTTCATAAAAATATTTCAACGGTAAATCGTTTGTCTCGTATGTACTTACTCAGCTAATCTGGTTGTTAGTTCCCCACTTTGGTGTTTATCAAACCAACCAATTTCCTGTCGCAGTATAGATCGGAAAAACCTCTTCCGAAGAATATGTGACTGTCGCTCGCTTGACAAACTCCAAAACGTAGCCTATCGTAATTGATATTTTCATAACTTTATTTATAGTAATATATCGGTAATAAAAACAGATCCGTAGGTCATACTCTACCAAATAGAGTATAATACAATATAGATGAAGAATTTTATTAGCATAAGGCATCGAAATATTTCATAATAATCCAACGATTTGAAATAGATACAGTTATCCGTGGCGGATCCTGTAGGGTAAGGGGCGCTCGGGGGAAGAATGCGACCCCAGCTTTGCCACTTTTCAAAATTTCAATGCAAATCAATGTTACGTGCTACTCACTAACCTATTCTGAAATTCTTGTGCGCCCCAACCCTCCCCCACCCCCATTTGAAAAAGGGATCCACCCTTGCAGTAGATGTATTGTACTTACCAATATACGAACTCTATATAAATATTTTAGCCATTAATAATCAATATCTTATTAATTTTATAAAATAATAAATGATTACCTGTATGAATGATGCACCTAGAATAGCACAGCCAATATATGAATAAATAATTGAGTATTTGGTGATTTCATTCTCAAAATCTTCAAGGGTGATATTTTTATTTTTGTCCACAAAATCGTTGGTCATCTCACCAAATATGATCATCATGAAAGGCCAGCCAGCACCGTGCACAATGGCGAACAACGTGCCGAGGAGCATGAGCATCACATCTAGCCAGGTAGCATACCGGAACTGCAAGATGGATTTACATATTCAACATTCAATATCATTGCATCATAAAAATTATATATACATATACATATATATTGTATATATATTATATATATAGGCCTATATATAATATATGCACATATAAATAAATGAAGAAATTATGTAATAAAATGCCTCCGACAGGATTCGAACCTGCGATTTCTCGCTGTCAAGGCGAGCGTCACAAACATTAGTCCACTGAGGCATCATAGGTGAACAGATTCAAATTACCGCCAGATTCACTGTATTACACAATAAGTACGGCTGGGAAACAAATAATTGCATATAATATAAATCAAGGTAGCCGTTAACACTGTTAAATTATTATTATTCTTGATGATTTATATACAATTTAATAGTGTTAACGGCTACCTTTTGGTCTGTTTATCAAACCCCGATCACTATTCACCGCTTTGATCACTGCTTAGACTAGAGTAATTAAGTGGAATTTACATAAGCTATGTGATAATTGGCCCTTTACTATAGCATGGACCTATTAATGCTCTAAGCCTATCACAATAATATTGTTTATTTGTATAATAGATCTCTTGTATCAGCCACACTTTGTCATTTAGTTTTGTAAGCTGAAGAAGACCAGATGACTGATCGAAAATTTCTTTTGAAATAAACCAGTGTTTTATAGTCCACATGACTCATTGCTTCAATTCCTTGTTTCAACGCCTTTTATATAATTTCAAGAACAAACGTGGATTTATGACGATATATATCTACACAGTATATGTA